GTGGAATAATCTCCGCCATCTGACGGAGGGCTGCTTCCAGAAAGCTCACCCAGGCTCCATTAATCCCTTTTTTGTGTTACGGCTGACTGATTCTTCTCCACCCTGCCAGTCTTACCTGCGTGTCAGCTTTACAGAAAATTATTACTGTACTTAAACCTGCAGTTTTAATGCTTATTTTCAACTACGCTGTGTTGCGTCATGCCATTAACAGCTATTATATGTGTTTTTTTAGCTTTGCGAAAAATCTGAGGTTCCAAAACACAGCGAGAACATATTGGATATTCTCCTCAGATATCTATATGCGGAGCATCTGGATTATGCTGTAGAATTAGCCATATCTGGTGGGTTGCAGTCGCTTTGTGATTTTTTCATTCTTTTTTTTCCTGAGAGTTCAATCTTTTTACAGGTATTTCGCTAGCCGAACCTAAAAGTGCCCCACCCGCGTACTTTTTTGCTGTTGTTTCACAGAACACTACGATAGTACTCTTATTGATGAAGCAGTATGAAGATTCTGTGCTTCCGCTGATAAAGTATGATACGGTTTCCGGGTTTCTTGAATTTTTGAAGGGAAGACGCTGATGCTAAACATTCGATTTCAGAGGAACCGTTGTTGAACAGTGCGTGGCGAAAAAATGGTCATCGTCTCTGCGCTCGTTAGAGCAAAAGATTAACATGGGACTGGAGCGGCAGCTCAATGCCATAGTTGGATATGTCCGATTCGTTCTCACATCTGAACAAAAGAAAGCGGATTTTCGTCCTGATAATCAGCAGATCAATTTACAGGCTTCTGCGGTACGATCTTAAATTGCTCGTGTGTGAGTTTTGTAACCAAGTGTGCTTGATTCCAGCCCTGCCAGCAGGTTGTGCGTTTCTTAGCCAGCCAGGCGGCTGCTATGGAACGCGGCTGTGACGGAGGCAATCTGGTTGTGTTACAAACTGAGTTAGCAAATCGGCTGTACAAATTGTTACTCAACCACGTCCAACAGGTTGGTCATGATCTATTCAGAGCTAGGCTTAAAGACAAGCATGGAAATGTGGTCTCAGACTTGAAAAGCCGCCTCCAGATTCCTTCACTCCTTATGATTCCTACCGTTTGTTCTTGCGAAATGTTCTTGCGAAGAGCCGTATTGTACCCCTTACCTCTCCAAACTTCTGTTTCTGAAGTTTGCGAATCGCACGTCTTCAAAAACGTATTCTTTATGGCTCTTACAATCACAACCAAGCGTTTGCTGCGTTGAAAGATTGGCCCAAAAGTCACTTATATACCACCACCATCCTTTCAAATTTCCATGAAAGTGTGAATGGAGAAATGGATAAATCGATAATGTCAAAATTGCTGGTTACGAATATGGAGACCAAAACTGCTACCTACGAGTTCCAGGCAGGTTGTGAGCGGTCTTTTTTGGCAGAAACTGCAATGTGAGTATCAGGCGAGGTAGTCTTGTCCGCCTCAGCATTTTTGATACAGCTAATGTTCAAAGCAAGGATAACTGCTCGTCCATTTGGTGCCACAGCTGATGTTCTTGCTGCATTTCATGCCAACTTTCACCGCACACAGCTTTCTTGGAACTAACATAGAAATTTTGGTCTTCATATTTTTAACTAGTATTCTTGATCCTACAGAATTACCAGGGTCTTCCATGGTAAGGCATACTCTTACAAGTCTGCTTTTCTATCACAGAACAACTTGGAGCAAGCTGCAGTGCAAAGAGTTGATAGTGAGCAACTTAAGCGCATGTTTCAGTTCACCTTCAACTCGGCTGGCGCCATGCTGTTGCTCTGCGATCTTAACGAGTATCGAAAATGTGTGTCACAATGGCGATTGGAGGCGAATGTGTCCAGACAGTTCGAGAGCTTGCATGCGCTGGCGAATCTCCTCGTTGTGCTTCCCGACAATCTTTCAGATGCTGCTCATAGTCCGATGCTGGCAAGTTTTCTAGTATACCATTTTGTTACACCTCCCTTTGGAGCATCACGAGCTATTATCCCAACGCGTGCTACAGGACAATGAAGGGATTAAAAGAATATCTTTGCGATTAGCAAACCACTTAAGCACCAGTATCTCGAGAAATTTAACGTTCTAGTCTCAAGAGGTAAGCTGTAGTAAGGCCCACAGGATGACATAGTTGGCGTTTGTCATCGCACTGCGAATGCGCCATGCAGTCGGAATCATTGTTGCCTTTGAATGCGATTTGGCTTATAAAATGACGCGTGGCAGCCGATGTATGCATGAGGCAGAGTTCCTACCAGATGAGTGTGATATATCAATGATCAACTCTGGAGTGACACACACTACATGGTCTGGGTAGAATTCAGTCTGGGTTTTGACCGCCAGATTTGCGTATGGTAGGGGCGCCATTTGCCACAACGCTTGCGCGCAGTTTGTCTAATGTATTAGGTGGGTCCATAAGTCTTGCAACAAACTGGCTGAATTTTGATTTTAATATTTGTATTATCTCTTTGTTCCATTCATCCAGCACCAGTTTAGCTTCGCGCGCCCTCGCGCGCACTTTGAGGTAGCTTCTGTTACTGCATTACCTACCCGATATTGTGATTTCCCACCTTTCTGAGCTTTCTGCGCAAAAACCGATATTTTCAATCGATATCGATCGATAGCATGTGACCCGATGAAATTTCGACTTTTACCACAGCCCCAATCAATACTGATTCCCAACCTCATTCGAGCCCTCTGCGCAAAAACCGATATTTTCAATCGATATCGATCGATAGCATGACCCGATGAATTTCGACTTTTACCACAGCCCCCAATCAATACTGTGATTCCCAACCTCATTCGAGCCTTCTGCGCGAAAATCGATATTCTCCGCAGAGATTTTGGCGCAAGCCCCGCCCCTCAGGTCGGACCCCGCCCACTACCGTACTCACTTCGAGCCAAGCCCTGCCCTCAACTGCACACGCCCTCAGGGCAACTTCCCACCCATTCGGGGTACTATACCAACTATTCTCTCCAATCTAGCCAAGGGAGCCATAGAATGCTGGACAAACAAACACACCAAACTACTGCTTTATATATAGAGGTGATAGTACACACCATCATTAACAACCTATTGCCAAAGCACTAGGAGCTGCTCGATGCCTCTCTTGTAGAAGTTCACTGAATTCTGATCGAAGAAAGATCAGGGACGGTAGCAAACCTTCATTAATTCAGACTTAACGTGTCGAGATT